TTGTATTATCGCACATTTCACGCTACAATTGTATTATCGCACATTTCACGCTACCATTGTATTATCGCACATTTCACGCTACCATTGTATTATCGCACATTTCACGCTACCATTGTATTATCGCACATTTCACGCTACCATTGTATTATCACACATTTCACGCTACAATTGTATTATCACACATTTCACGCTACAATTGTATTATCACACATTTCACGCTACAATTGTATTTATCTATTTTTAATACCTCTCCACAATTGTGCTTCAAGTAAAGGTAGTACCATAACAGTTAAGGATTGTAGCATATGGAAAATGAAATGAATAGATCAAATTGATAGGATTTCATATGAATTTTCGGAGTAGAAAGAGGGGTCTTCTGGTTGGGGAGTGGTGTGAAATTGTTCCTTTTTTTGTACCATTCACCCATGCATATAAGAATGCTAGCTCCTCCTGGGTGGGTTAAAAATTCAAGTTTCCAAAATCTCTTTATTCAGATATTAACAGCTGATATCTGCATTAAGTTTTTATTTTTTGCGATGATGATCATATTTCGATAACTTTGTTAAAAGTGCTATCTAGTAATAATGTACAAATACCAATCTTCCCTGCAGTAGGTTTAGTTATACTTCCTGACACTACCTGTTGTAATGAACAATATAATTAATACATTTTGATTATAACTGACTGACTCTTTCATAACACAATTTTCATATAATATCACACAAACACAAAAATATGTGATAAAATATATACAGTTAAATAAGAATATTGTTGATTACAACTTAAACTGATTTTGTGTGGCTATTTATGAACTTATTACCAATACATATATATCTAACTGATTGATTTCTACCCTAATGTAGACACTGGCTGTGTTTGAAAATGATGAACACATTAATTTAGAAGATGAAAATCGTGATGTTTCTTCTGGTGAAACTTCTGATGAAGATGAAAATCATGATGTTTCTTCTGGTGACTCTTCTGATGAAGATGAAAATTGTGTTTTGAAAACAGGACTTTCATTAGAAATTGATAAGCCTTCAAAAAATGTAAACCCTAAAATTGAAGTATTACCTTCAATCCAACAGACATGATGTTTCTTTCTGAACATCATCGAGTTTTTGATGTAAAATAAAATGTTTCATTACTGTATATATCACGGTAGACAAATCAAAAGCCTTTTCATGTACAGATCCAGTTTTCAGTGTTCTCAAATAAAACATCCTACACTGCTTTATGTAAATTTTTGTGTTTATATTTTTACTTACTCCAGTTTGTTATTACAGCGTCTTCTACAGCTACAATTCCATCCTGTTGTAACTTGCCTTAGTTAGGTTTGAATCGGGTATTTTAAGAACCTGTCGGTCTTTTCCTACTGCATAAAACAGAATAGCCAACTTATATTTTTTACCTTGTTTCCTAACTGAAAAAATGTTTGTATTTGTAGATTTTTTATTTGTCACAGACATTTATTTATAATTAAGGTCAGAGAAAAAGTTTTATAGCAGTCCCAAACTGAAATTATGTTTCTGAAACAGAAAATTGGTATCTTCAACTAGGAGGGATCTGTTAAGTATCAACACACTGGTGGTTAACATGCTCACTTCTAATTTAGGAACAGCTAGTGTGATAGCTCGTGCATAGCTTTGCAGAAAATTTCTAATCAAACAAACTATATATATTGCCTTGTGAACCTGACAGTTTTGCTTACACTAAATATTTTAGGCCAGTAGAACTTGTGTTAATATAAATATTATTCATATGTATAAACAGTAATGTTAACAACTATAGTAGATGCCAGTTTGTTTAAGTCAAAGCTAATTAATTTTTCCAAACATGAAATATAACAAATGGATTCTGAACAGTTATGTTGTCCACAATCATTTGTAAGTAAAATTGTGCTGTAACGCACACATGAACCTCCAGAGGAAACTGAAATGGTAAAACATAAAGTAATTTTCTCTGTAAAAATTATACAAATTTTCTAAGTATTGTTACGGCAGCGGAAGTCACGCGATGCTGGGAGCATCCACCCTGGAGTTTCTAGAAGGATCATAGCTTATCGAGGAGAGTTGAAATACCAGTACAAGTTTTCAAACCAAATGAAAAATTTGCCAAAGTAAGAAAAAAACATTAAAATGTTCAAACTATTACAATGACTTTATGTTAATTTCCACTTTAAATTTTTTTATTGGCAATACAAAATTTACAATTTACTGTTAGTCATCAGTTTCTTGAGCATGACCAGCTGGGTGCAACTGACATTCCAAGTGTAGTTCACTTGACTCTACATACATGAGATATGTTTCATTAAATTAGTATGATAAAGCATAAAGTGCTGGTGTTTATAACAATATCATGGTACTTATTCGAGTGTCCAGTAATTTTTGACAATGTGGTATGTGATGTTTAAGTGTTTATAAATGCATCATCACGATGTTATAGAAACTCATGTTTATAAATGGTGGTTCCTGTGACTACTGGAGATCAGTAAAAAGATACAGAAGAGTCACTTTGCACTGAACTTTAGACGTGACTTTTTCCCACAACCATGACTAGTGAAGTAACGATGATATGAATACTGAGTGAGTTTTTTATGATGACTGCATGCTTTTTTAATGTAACTACATGGTGATTGAATTAGTACTGATGATTATTGGCTTAGTTAAGTCATCATAGTTTCATCAATTTTACAATGTCCAGTGTAGTATCATCGTATATTTAATACTAGCAGGATACCCGGTGTTGCCCAGGGAATGAAGCACTCAGTTTGGTGACCACTTGATTAAGAGTAAAATAACCAAAAAAGCTTCATGGTAATTGTGCCTGAATTATAATTCTTTCAGACAAAATATTTATTTTCTTTGTAAGAGAGATACATAATTCAAAGAAACTTGACTTTTGTCGAAAAAACAGTCAGTTAAGGGCTTCATGTTAAACAATGTTTTTAGGTTTTCCGCATGGAGCATTTACATAAAGATTTTTTGGGCTTCCAACACGTGAACATCCAACATAGAGCTGTCCATGAGAGAAGCAGGGCTTTTTCAACTACAAGCCAGTTATCTTCAATGTCTGACCTTGCGATTTGTTGATGGACATGGAAAAGCTTAAGCGAATGGGAAACTGTAGTCTCTTAAACTCAAATGTCATATCAGTGGGAATCATTGGGATTCTCGGTGGAAAACATCTTCACCCTTGCCTCATCGAGAAAGTATTGTAGCTTCAATAACATGGGGCATAAGCTTCTTTACTGCCAGTCTTGTTCCATTGCACAGACATGGTGGATCCAAATTTTGGAGTACCGTGATCGATGCTTCTACTTTTAGACTGATACAATGTGGTGGGACTCTTGGAGGTTCAAGTGAATTCATAAACTCTGGGGATAGTTGACCATTGGGTTTGATCGGGCACTGAGTCAACTGACTTGTAGCACTGGGTATTACCAGGTATCTTCTGCAACAGCTGTGTGTTGATGACATTGACAATATTGTTCTTTGGAGCTAATATTGCTCTTTCACACAGCCACCTGTGATAATATATATATTTTTCTGTGTGTTTAAATTTTAGAATTATTTATGGGGGGGGGTGCCAAAGGAAGGGTTTGCCTCCAGTGCCAAATACTTTAGGTAACTCCCATGAATGTACTATATTCTGATGGTGTAACTTGGTCCATTAAAAAAAAACAGATTTTGTTTTATCTTCCAGTTATAACATACATACTACAAAAGATAGAACGTTGATAAGAAACTACCTCGAGTACCCATCCAAGGGTCGGGTGAAATAAAAACTCGTTTGTAACAATGGATAGGAAAATGGTCTTCTATTCATTTTTCTTAACACAATAAACATCAAAAGTGCAATAAAAATACATAAAGATACCAATACTGAAAAGAAAGACATACTGTTTTCGAGAATTCTAACACCATTGGTTATATAGTTCATTCTAATGCTGAGGAATATACAATACCGGTAATTTTTCCAAAATTAGAGGGGTCTACCTCCACCCCGATAACCTTCCTCATGTCATCCTGTATCAAAAGTTTGGCACTAATTGATCAAGAAAAATGGAAGCGTGTAAGGAACATATATGAAATAATAGATATACGACCGTGTATTTTTCTCTGGTATACACTTTGCTTTATATAATAGATAATATTTTCTATATTATTATAAATAAATATGTTTATCATCTATAGAGAGATAACATTTATGTTCTGTGTACAAAAGATGCAAGAAATAAAGTTTATTGTTATAGTTATTTGTCTGATTCAACTGTTTGAATCATACAAAAGTGCATAAAAAATACATCGAAATCTTACATTTGTAATTTTTAAGTGCAATGTTTCACATCATCCTAAATTTTTTGTATTCATTATATCTGGTATTTTAGTTGTCTTCTACTTACCACAGTGAACCTATATTTATAAAAGATTTTAAGAAATTATATTAAAAATATTTATATATATATATAGTTACTAAGAGCCTTACGTTTCACATTAAAATATGCTTGATGAAAGCTGTGTAACATTTTAGGCTCTAAACGAAAGAGTTGGTGCTTCAATGTTAATTGCTTATGTAAAATGTTAGTATCTTGCTTCCAGTACTTGCCTTAGGTATTTACATATCAAAGTAAAAATCCTTCAATTTGGATATTACTTTGGAGTTATACAGATTGTACTTAGAACTGCCCCTTTCGCTGATTCAGCGATAAGTCTGAGGGCTTATAACGCTCTTTCATGACAGATAGATCGATTAGCCCAGTTCTAACAGTTTTTTTTTTAAGTTAAAATAAGAAATTTCTTATTTCGTAAAAACTTTTTATTAGTTACGTATTATATTATTTCATCTTTTCAAAATGACCCTCCTCCCCCAGGCGGCTTAGCGGTAATTCTTAGGGCTTATAACGCTACAAATCGGGTTTCATTATCCATAGTGGGCAAGACACAGATGGCCCATTGTGTAACTTTGAGCTTAATAACAAAGTTTCCAATATGCTTTTTATTGACTAAGGTATGCCTTAAAAGTTTTAGATATTTATTGGGCAAATTATAGTTTAAGATGACGAATTTTTTCGTTTTCAGCATTTGACGGCGTTCTCTGGTGATATTAGAATTTATGAAAATTTATTTGTCATAACATTTTTGGAATTTTAAAGGGATACGGTCAATATTGCTTTCATGGAATTTAATAAATGCAAAAAAACGTATTCCGTGACTTCGCATTCTGAACAATGTAATATCAGTTAAATAAATACTGGTCATTAAACGATTGCATAAAAATATATATGGAAGCCAAAAACACATTTACCAATTAAATTTCATACTCGTTTCTATTAATTATATACTTTAAATTGGTTCTTAAAGATATTTTCATGCAATATAAAATATATTATGCCTAATTGTTCCAAAAGCAATCGAAATCAGTAGGTGGCTGATAGGTTGACCCTGACCGTCAGTAAAAATGTTTACAGACATCACCTTCGTATCGATTTAAAAAGTATTGAATGGGATGATGTTACAATGTTAGCCTTTCAGGCATGAACACTAGGTGTCACTACTAGTAAGACTATTATCAATTTTTTAAAGAAAATGGTGGAAGAGGACTATAGACTTGTAGTAATTGTGATTCTTAATGTTTGAATATAATAGTATGGAGATATCTGTTGTTTTTTTCTTCTTAATAAAATTTTTAAGCTATTGATAATTCTGTGAGATTAAAGATGTGGACTCCGACAAAGAATAAAAAGTATGGTGTGGGTAAGTAATTTGTTTTTGTTTTTTGGTAAAACAGTATTATCGTGAGTATGTCAGTGTTTTTTTTTTATGATAGCCTAGATTTTCCGCCGGTAATGATTATTTAATAGTACCACCATATTATTGGCATCTATGTCAGCCGGTTATAAGACTTGTAATACGAAAAGTGCATTTGTAACGTACATTAAAACACACACCTTTGATAAACATCTAAATTCTAAGGATGAATGAAAAAAATTATTACGTATAAGTTATGTTACAATTTACTATTAGTTATAAGAACAGCATCATATTACGATTGTGTAAATTATGACTACCTTAGAACGAGGTAGTTATGTTTATATTCTGTGGATGTAACTATAATAATTTTCAAGTGTTTACAGTATATAACTACAATTATTGTTTAACTATAATAATATAACTTAACATCTGAACAAAAAGTAGACATCAAAAGCTTGAGTTTAATAAAAAAAAATGCATCATTACTAATGACATTACATTTAGTCCTACCCTGTCATATTATTAGTTTACTATTACTATTAGTACCTTACTACCTGTAATTTATATTCAAATCAAGCTTGTAAAGTATCTCAAGTTTTAAAAGTGAGAGTAGTAAGTGTATTAATGTAGTAAAAATTTTGGTTATATTATTGATATATATAGCACATGAAGAATGATATGGAAATTTTTTGTTCCATAAACTCAAAAATTATTGTTATATTGTAATGGTTAAGTTGAAGGAATATAAACAGTTTTTACATTTAATTACAATTATTATGCTTCTTGTTATACAGAAGATTGACTTTCTAAAAATGATAGTATTGGTTTCAAATTGAATAACAATCATAGAGGAATCAAAATTTCAAACAACTGTACTTTTCTAGTAGATAGATAAATTACCGAAGGGTTAGATAGAATTATTTTCCCTAAATTTCAGGTTCTTTGCATATTATCATAAGTGACACCATAGTAAGAAAATTGTAACTAACCGTGAAGTATTATTAAGGCTTTCAGGTCACTAAGATATAAGAAGTGAGAAGACAGAAGTCAGTTGAATTCACCAGTCACCCTTTTCACTCTGCCCAGCCAAGATCAATAATCCAAGTTACATGTAGTCTATAGCATCCATTTACTTATCCAGCAAAAGTCTGAATTAATTCAAACTAAGAGTTGGTTAAGCATTTCTACAATTCTAGATTAAGCCTTTCAAAATTTGTGCATATTCTCCCTACTTTCAATTTTATACACCTCAAATGGACCTCTCACAGACACTTAAAAAAACTACTAATAATTTTAAATCATCTAGATTAAATTACATCACATTCTTTTGAATTTAGGAAAAGCTCAATTCTTCATCCTATCCCATAATTAAAGGCCTCACCAAATTTTTACATGCGATTTTTATACCTTTCTTACCCTTAATTTCAAAATATCTACAATTAGATCAATATAAATGTATCTACAGCTAAGAGCTTCAATTATTTAGCATTATAATTCACAATTTCTTCAAATCACCAATGTTTTTTTTAACTTTGAATGTGCATTTATTTATAAACAAGATGTGTGATAAAAGCATGAAAGATGGCATGCTAAAATTCAAGTAATGTAAATAATAAAACATGTATCGGTATAATCATTTTTTTATTACAATGTTATCATATTCTAAGTTCTTATAAAATATACTGGAAAAAAATAAGTTACTAGATATGTGCCAAAGTACCACACTAGTTGATCCTTGATTTTAATAACATACATTTGAATAATATATATATTCACCAATTCATTGAACTTTTTAGGAATTTGTCAAAAGAAACTGTTAGAATAAAATTACACAATCATTCAGTTTTTAAGTACATACACATTCACTGGCCAAAGTATTTGTTTCACTTTGTGGTCTGTTTTTTAATCAGGACCATCTCTAATCCAGATAGAGTTAATGGTAAAGGACTGTGTCTTCTGATAAGTCATTCCAAAAGGTCCCATAGGTGCTCAATGGGATTGAAATCAGAGGACTATGTAGGCCAGGGTAAATGTTGGAAGTATTTATCCTATACAGTGAACCAATGATAAAATATTTTAGCTCTATGATTGGTGGTATTAACATCCTGGAAGTAACCATCATTGTTTGGGTAAAAGTAGAGTACTATGGGATACATCTGATCATCTAGGGTAGTCAAATATTCACAAGCTGAAATACTGATATAGGAACCAGGGCACCTAGTCCATGCCATGCAGATGAGTCCCCCAACATTACATTTTACAGTGGAAAACATGTCCGTTGCTTCATTGGGTTGTCACTGCAATCTAACCCTACCATGATTGTAAAACAATGTCATGCGTGATTTGTTTGATCGTATTACACATTTCATTGGGTACCGGTCCAATTCCAATGATCTGTACACCACTGGACACATAACTTTCAATGTTGGCAGAGATAAGTGGTTTATATGAGGGGGCACACTAATCAAAGTTAATATTTTGTGGTGTGTATGGATGTTCCTAGATACCGTAATGGATGTTCTAGATACCGTAATGGATGTTTCTAGATACTGTAATGGATGTTTCTAGATACTGTAATGGATGTTCCTAGATACCATATTAAAATTATCCCTTAATTTATGCACATTTTAACTTCTATTAGGCTGGACAATCCTCAATATTTAACTTGTATCCCTGTTTGATAGTTCTCCTTTGAACACTGTTTCCTTTATTATAGATATTTGATCTGATAATTCACATTGTTTGACTTGGGACACAGTGGTTTTTTTATTTCTTAAAGCTGGACAATCCTCAATATTTAACTTGTATCCCTGTTTGATAGTTCTCCTTTGAACACTGTTTCCTTTATTATAGATATTTGATCTGATAATTAACATTGTTTGACTTGGGACACAGTGGTTTTTTATTTCTTAGTCAGCTCGATCATTCTCGCAATTGAGGAGACACCCATTCATTGAGCCCCAACAATAACATCACATTTATAGCTTGATGAAGCTCTCATCTTTCCTGATTATAACTGCAAATTGTATTTATAGACCCTGGTGTTTTTTTTATTTATCTATCATGTAAATACCTACTTTATTTAACTATAAAATGAGATTGTTGAGATAGGGGAGTTTCTTATATTTTGGCCCATTAGTGTAGGTAAAAATAGACATTTACATTATTAGAGATATAAAATATTGATATTAAAGCTAGAATGCAACCTTTTTATGTTAGAAGACCTGTCTGCTTACCTCATGTTTCACGTTTTTATTTGTGACACAATAGCAAATTTTCTAAATGAAATGTTTTTCAATTT